GTCCTCCTTCAGAGCCAACAAATTCATGGAAAGTCTACCCTGCCACACCGCGAGTATATATGTGAGGGTTCGTTTTCCAACATCTGCAACCTCTGTGATTGGCTGCAGGCCGAGGGGGCGGAGCCAGTGGAGCGCTCGCTGTACCTGACGTCACTGGTCCTTATCGCTCTGCGTCGGGCAACCAGCATCAGAGAACGGATCCTGCAACTGAAGGTGGCTCCTCCTTTTCGTCTCCCGCTTTCCGCCCCCGACAGCCAATCGCAGCGGCTTTCTCCTTCAGTTCCACGACGACAGCATGAGGTCCGCCGCCAAGTACATTTCCCAGCATGCTCAGACGGTGAAGAGCGTGTACGTGCAGGCGCTGGCCACGTACGCCCTGACGCTTCACGACCCAAACAACGCCATCAGTGTCACGCTCATCAACAGCCTGGAAAGGCTGGCCAAGGAGAAAGGTGTGTGTGTGTGTGTGTGTGTGTGTGTGTGTGTGTGTGTGTGTGTGTGTGTGTGTGTGTGTGTGTGTGTGTGTGTGTGTGTGTGTGTGTGTGTGTGTGTGTGTCTGCTCATGCATGTGTATGCGTGCAGGACACCCAGCTGTGCTCAGGTACTGGCAGGAGTCCGGCACAGCAACGGGTTGGCTCAGACCCGACCAATCAAGCGGCCTGACAGTGGAGACGACGGCGTACGTGCTGCTCAGCACGCTGTTGAAGGTGCGGCTCTCCGATTGGACGTCTCCGTGTCCACTCTGACAATATTGATTGACACGCCACTTCTTGTTTGAAGGGCCGGATCCCGTACGCCAACCCCATCGTGTCCTGGTTGACCCAAGATCAGCACTATGGACAAGGATTCTACTCTGTGCAGGTACCTCAACGCCATCCCCATCTCGACATGACGTTCGGCCCACTTCCTGTTTGACACTTTGACTTCCGGCCAATCAGGACACGGTTTTGACTCTGGAGGCTTTGACGGAGTACAGCCGGGTGATCCCCCGTGCCGTCCTCGACCAGGACATCAATGTCCGCTATGGACGCAAAGGAACGCTGGCTCGGGTCCACCTCACCCCCTCGCGGCCAGTGGCCACGCCCATCCAGGTGACTGGGAGGGGCTTGGGTTGGCAGTCAATTGGTTCCTCTTGCGCTTGAACTTGGAAGCTAAGACATTTGTCACAATATCAGTAACAAGCCAAGTGACTCATTTTCAAGATGAGAACCGAGAAATCCAGCACCACGAGACCCCTTGACACTCCATCATATCATAAGAGCCTGGAGACTGAATCATAAACGAGACCTCACAGGCCTAATCACTGCACGAGAGCTCAGAGACTCAAACACGACACGAGAGCCTGCAGACTGAACATGAAGACGAGAGGCACGAACAGAGATCAACAACCTGAAATAATCAAAAAGCCTTTTTGGCTTGTCTAGCACGGAAATCAAAAAGGCACTCACACCTCAGGCCTCAAGAATCAATTAGCTCACGAGACCCCAAAGACTCAATGGCAAATAAGTTTGTAAGTTGTCGTCTGTGCCGTCAGGTGTTGAAGAACGATGACATCACCGTTTCCACGGGATTCGGGAACGGCGTGTCAAGTGTCAAGGTGGGTGTGGCTTAGCTGAAGCAACACACTTTCCCATAATGCACTTGAAATTGAAATTTTGTGTGTCAGATGAAGACGGCGTACTACCAGACCACACCGCCCTCTCGCAACTGCAACTTTGACCTTAGCATCGAGATGGTCGGCGCAGACGCGAAGGACGGTAAGACGTACAAAATGGCTGCAGCACCAACTGTCTGTTGACCCTTAACGTTGGCTATTCTTCTTCTTCTCTTCTTCCTCCTCCTCAGGCCCCAACATCCGTGAACCGCACCTGTCTGCGTGTGCCAAGTAAGACAAATTAGCCTCTCTGTAACTAGCCCGCATGCTAAAGCTGTAACTCCGGTCCTGGCAGTTGTGGTGGGAAGTTACCAAGAGGTGCAAATATATGATTACTATACTTGAGGAGATTTTACAAACATCTGATCAAATGACTAAGTTGCCATCAAATTATTTTTTTTTCCATTAACAAAGGTCAAAATGAGTCCTTGAAATGGTTAAAGTTTGATATCCACGTGGTCTGTTATTTGCGTGACTCATTCGGCTCTTACCCGCCCACTTGGTGGTTGCCCATTCAACTCCGGAAAAATGGCTGATGGCAACAACACGGCTGCATCGGCTGTCAATCTCAGATGAGTTGAGGAATAAATGGAAATAACATTCAGATGCTGCGTCACGCTGCCGCGGCAGCCTGAGAGTTCATCGCGGCTGGCCACCGTTCCGCTGACGGCCTGATAAATTCTATCGGAGCCAAGACAATGAAGAAACGTGGTGGCCACAAAACGCCCGCATATTGAGAACGAACCAATCAGAGGAAAGCTTATTCCGAACCTGAATATCAATGAGACAACAGCTCATTCAAAATCACAGGAAGTATTTCTGGCCAACAAAAATAGCTTGAGGAAGGGTGTCCTGCTTATTTCTAACCCATTTATTTTGCAAACCCAAAAAAAGACGATTACAAAAAAATAGTGGCACGGCACCTTTTGAGTACAGGAGTACTCGTATGGTCTTTTTTCACGTGCAGGTACAAGCCTCCTCCCAATGAGCTGGCGACCGAGTCCACGATGACGGTCATGAAGATCCAGCTGCCGACCGGCGTGGAGGCGCACCTGGAGGACCTGAGACAGGCGAGTCCCACCTCCGATGCCGATGATGTTGTTTGCGTGGCGAAACGTTGCCCCCCCCCCCCAAAAAAACCCCTATGCTAACGTGTTGCAGTTCCGAGATACAATGGAGCCTGTCATCTCGCACTACGAGCTTCAGGGTACCACGGTCGTCATCCAGATGGACTCGGTGAGCACTGATAACACCCGGACGCCTTCCTCATTACCCCTGCGGAACATCTGACAACTTCCTGTCTGGGGTGCAGGTTCCGTCTGACGTGTTTCTGTGCATCAGCTTTCGGATCCGCGTTGGCTTCAAGGTGGGCGGGGCCAGCAAGTCTCTGTTGACTGTTTCTGAGCCTCAGGACAAAGGTGAGAACATCCTTGGTATGGAAATCCACATGGAGGAGGGTTGAACTTCTAGACGAGGACAATGGGCATTGTAATCCACTTGGTGAAGGCTTGTAGTTCTCTGAAGACCCGGTGCTAAAGTTGCCGTGTTAGCCTCAATGCTAGCTATCAAGGCAAACTTTCTTTTAATTTCTATGCAATTCTACCCTCATTGCTTTTGCACCTTTCTCTGCGTGAGCCAGTGTGCTCGTTCGCCAGAGGACTATCCAAAGGGAAGACCCATTCTCAAGGTGGAGGCATAATTAGCTTGCTAAAAGGGCGTTGCAATTGCGCTGGAATAATGGCTAATCCGAACAAATGCGTTCAAGTTGCGTCAGTGGAGATGAATCTTGTTGTTCTTCCGTAGGAAGTTTGTGTAGCGAAGCCTTCTCCTATACGGAGCAGAAGCTGCAGCGCTTCTGTGTGGCTGACCAGTGCCAATGCATGACAGGTGACTCCGCCCCCACAATCTGATTGGTTGCCAGTCCACCAGGTGCCGTTTCATTTAACGCGTGTCATGTAACTCGTGTCGTCATAGCCGCGTGTGCGACCTACAGAGCCAACCCCGACTTGACCTTGACTGCTGCCAAACGCCTCCAGGAAACGTGTCAGCCTCACATCAAATACGGTGAGAATGCCACAACGCGTCGCGCTCGGCACTGAGACCCGAACGCAGCGCCAGCGTGACGCCACTCCATGTTTGCAGCTTATAAACTGCAAGTCAAGTCTTCGCAAACAGAAGGAGACTTTGTGACCTTCACAGCCAACGTGCGTGAAGTCCTCAAGAACACAGATCCAGGTAATCCCAAGAGACTCAATTGGAACCTGAGACCCTGAAGACTCAATCACCTACAGTGCTGTGAAAAAAAAAGTCTCTGTTGAAAACAGTAACTGATCATTCAAGTCCATGAAGAAGATTGTAAATTAGGCCATCGAGGAGTTGCGACGGTGGCGGCCATGATGTGGGTGACACGTGCCGTTTATTAGGGTTCGAGGCGTTGAGTTCCGGCTCGGAGGTGGAGCTCATCAAGAAGGTGACGTGCGACCTGGTCCACGTGGCGCTAAACCGGCAGTATCTGCTGATGGGATCCAGCGGGTCCGAGGTGCGAGTGGGCCACGCCTCCAGGTGAGCGTACCGCCCATTTCGGGGAAAGCTCCCGGGTGGACCCCGCCCCTCCCGCCTTTCACAGTGCAGTCGCGGTCCTCAGGTTCCGCCTCCCCCTGGACGCCGATGCCACACTGGAGCCGTGGCCCACCCAATGTGAAGATCCGGTCTGCACAGCGCAAACTGCCAGCATGGACGAGTATGCTCTCGACCTCCAGCTCTTCAGCTGTCCAAAGCCTTGATGGCGTCACGTGACGTCGGCAGCATGCCGCGGCATAAACATGGCGGCAGCAAGAGGAGCGGTATCTTGACAGCAACTTGATGTAACGTCAGCTGGACATTGACGATACCTTGACATCATCATGACATGACAAAATGATCATCGCATTACTTTGACAACACAATTTATGTCAAGACATAGTCTTGATATCACGATATAATAAAGGCTCACAGAATCACGACAACACTGACAACGTAAAATCACCTTGACGTCACGACAAAACTGTAACATGACGAGAATGTGACATGACGGACGAACCTTTGACATGATGACTGCTTGGCGTGATGTGACATCACTTTCACTGATGAAAAACATGGATGACACACGTGTCAACAGGAAGTGACTCGCTTTGCATTGACTTTTTTGAACAACGCACATTGAGTGTTCACAATTCTATGATGCCACGCGTCAAATAAAATGAAATGCCATGAACAACTAACACTTGTGTCACGTCGCATGAGCAAGATTAAGGTGGCTGCTAAAGAGATTACCATGGAGACGGAGATAAGGCTTCTTATGGATGCTTCTTAAGACTTGTGCGAATGCAAGCTAATGCTCGTCTCCATGGCAACCAAAATGTGATTGATTTATTTGTTTGATTGGTTGTTTTGGAGGGTCTAAAGTTGCGCGCTATATTTCTGATAGGGACTTTGCCTTTTTGACAAGTCTGCTTCAGCCACACTCGCCGTACTTCAAATGTTAGTAGGTTTCCGCTAATGAAAAGCCAACTTCCCGTGTAGAGCTTTCACGATAAAAGCTTGATCCCGCTCTTCACTATGTGATGCTCTTATTGTGAAGCACTTGTAAGGAAATCAAACAATTTTGAAACGAAGGTACCCGCGGGAGTGGCTGTGACTTCCCCGTTAGCCGTTAAGCTAACGAGCCGTGCGTTTCGAAAGTCGAGCACAAAACATTTGCAAGGTCAAAATATTCTTGAATGATTCCAGGAGCGCTGAAGATGACGACCGAGCAAAGGTAGTGTCAAATGTGAACATGAAACACAGCAGCCTGCTTTAAAAGTTCCCTTTTTTTCTATATTGACTTCGTTTTATTAAATAAGATGAGAGGAGTTGTGGTTGTCTTTTACTCGTCGCGGTGCTAAACTGACACACATGAAAAAGCTTCTAAAATTCGCTTTGAATAATACAATGCCTGCCGTCTTATGCAATCATCAAAGGTAGCACCTGTTGACGTCAAGTCAAGCCAAGTGCAGCCTTCTGGTCCAGGCGCTTCATCCGTTTTCGGAGTCCGTCACCAGTCGAACCGTGATTGCGACACCCAACCTCATCGAGGACAGGCTGATATTTTCCACAAGTCAACAAGACGCAACATATTGTTTAGAAATATGGTGTGGACAGGGGGAGATAGGGACCAGCTGGCGTGGCAAAACCAAAAATCTGCATCGAATTGATGTCCTTTATAAGACCATTGAAAAAAAAAGTATCTATCTATAAAGGGCCAAAATATTTTCAATCAGGTGGAGTACATTTTCCTTGAAAAACAGGGCCCACCTGAGCGTGAGGAGACGCGCATGAAGCCGAGTGACATGAACGCTCGCCTTGAGGACGCCCTGTCCCGCATCGCCGTGGAGGCACAAGAGATCCAAGAGCTGGAGCAGCAGTTGACGGATGGTGAGGACAGGCGTCGGCCCGTCACAGGCCACCTCCTCCTCATCCTCGTCCTTGTGAGCAGTTTTCTTTTGGCGTGTGATCTCCAGGGCAGATTTTGGCCAATGAGCTCCTGCAGAAGGACCTGGAGGGGATCCTCGGTGGACTTCAGGAATATCTCAGAGGACTTCGACTTAAGGTACCACTTCACCAATTCCGGAATGACAAATATAGTACTGGTGGGGAATGTTGCGCTTTTGGTCGCTATAGCCACTATTTTATTGCGCTTCCTTGTTCCAACTTTGTTATGGGTCAATTTCCTCGAGAAGAGACAACTGTACAGTATACTGGAACAAAACTAGTATGCTGGAGACGTGTACATGCCTCACGCCTGAGTAAAAAAAAAAAAAAAAGGAACAATTCTGCTAGCTTACTGCTAACACATAAAGCGAAACGCCACAGTTGGACGAACAATAATTAGCATAGATGTTACTGTGCTCATGTGGCGCAAGTAATTCCGCTTGCTCTTGTTTCAGGCCAGTGAGCTGCAGGCTGAGAATGAAAATCTTCAGCGCCACCTGGAGGACGCTCAGAGACACCGCAAGAAGCTGGAGGACACAGCCCGGGTTTGTGATCAGGTGACCTTTGAACCTGCGTCACGGGGATGCTCGGCTCACCAACTGAATGGTGTTATTTTCCCGTTGAAAGCGATGTAAATAGAAGCCAGCCGTTCCATTCGACAAATGAATGGCACGTTTTGTTCCGAAAGCAAATTGTTCACTGGGAGGTGGGGGGTGTCTGATATTTGATGACGTGTCCGCAGAAGATGGCGGCCCAGCAGGAGGCGCTGGCGGCGCTGAAGATGGAGGCCCAGGTGCTGAAATGGCAGAAGGCGGGGCTGGAGGCGGAGCTGAAGGAGATGAGGGAGGAGCTAAACCAGCAGCTCACACTGGGACAGGTGAGCCAACGCTCCCAAAACGACACCATCCAATAATAGGATAAACA